ATGGAAGATTTCATCGAAGTCTTATGATCCTTAGTGTACAGCCCCCTTAATATCATTTCCATTGCTAAAAGGATTTATCAGTCTCTGATATTTAATTATTTAACACTACTAAGGACTTGGGTGGTAAGAACTTTCCTTTCTGTACAGAATTTAGTTACCAGGCTGCAGAACGTCTACACAAACTATTTCCCAGAATGACGGCTCAGGACAGTGGGATGGAAGCAGTGCTACTCCTAAGACTCCTGGGTTCAGAGTTCTGGGCTGTCTCCATTAAGGTTTGAGTGAAAATGGTGGTCAAAGTGGTGGAGGTGGTTTGACTTGCCTGACATATGTTACCCCAGTCTCTCCGTCTGAGTGCCCAGCTGCTTCAGTCAGGCTGGCCTGTCTGCCCCATGTTTGGCAGTCAGTGACAGTTGGTGGCAATGGTGTTGTTTGATGTCTGTGAGGGCTAGACTAGAAGCACCATCAGTGACTTGGGGATTGCTGCCACTCTTAGGGCTCCTATGCCCATCTGCCTACTGGTGGTCAGCAGTTGTTGCCAGTGGTGATGAGGAAGGTAGGTCCTCTCTCCACAATTTATCCCCTTGATGAGGCAATAAATATAGGCAAAAAGGAAACAAAATTATCATTTTTTGTAGATTCAGCAGTTGCAGAAATATAGAAAGAAAGTTCATCACCCAGTTGTTGAGTAATGAGACATCCTAGTATTCAAATTCATAAGAAAAGCCATTCCCAACTGATAACTGGCATATTGATATGAACAGGCAGTTTTCAAAGGAAGAAATCCAAGTTATCAATGGACATATGAAAAATGCTCTAAATTACTAATAATTAGAGAACTATAAATCAAAATAACTCTGAGCTTTCACCTCAAGACCCATAAGATTGACAAATGTTGGAGGGGCTAAGGAAAAACAGGTACATTAATGCACTGCTAGTAGAGCTGCAAAGTGGCCCAGCCATTCTGGAAAGCAATTTGGAACTATTTATGTAACTACCAAACAACTATTAAACTGTGCATAACTGCTGACCTAGCAATAATACTACCATGTATACACTCCAAAGAGATCAAAGAAAAGTGGAAAAGGACTCAAATAAAAGAATGTCTATCAAATGTGGAATAGCTTAACAAATCACAGTTTATGAATTTGATGAAATATTAATTATGCTTGCTATAAGAAATGGTTTCAGAGAAACCTGGGACTTGTATAGAATGATGCAATGTTATACAGTAATAACAATATTATAAAGACAAGAAACTTGGAAAGACTTGGAAATTCTAATTAAATATAATAACCAAACACAATTTCAAAGGATTTAGGATAAAACATGTAGCCTACCCTCTGAGAGGTGATAGGCTCAGAGAACAAACTGAAACTTTTTTTTAAGATATGGCCAATTAGGGAATTGTTTTGCTTGACTATCCTTATGTGTAACAAGGGTTTTGTTTTTCCTGTTTTGTCAATGGGGGTAGAGGAGATAAGGATAAAAGGTAGATCTTCATTTGAAAATAAAATTTAATTTAAAAACATAAAGAGTAAATGTACCCTTCACTTAAGATAAATCTCTACTTTTCCTGTTATGGTTAGTAGGATACTGAGATGGAGGCAACTAAGTGGCATAGTTGACAGAACAGTACAATTGGCGTCAGGAAGACCTGGGTGCAAACCCTGCCATCAGATGACCCTGGGTCAGTCACTTTACATTCTCTTAGCCTCAGTTTCTTCATCTATAAAATGAGGATTCAGTTGTGGACCACGTACTTCAAATAGAAGATACTCAGTTCCTACAGTTCCCCAGACCAAACATTCTCAGAAATGCACATCATTAGTTACAAAGAGAAGCAGTGAAAATGTGACATCCGTGACCATTAACAGAAAACAATTCAAAGCATGTCATATTGATATTATCCATGACATAATCAAAACATACAATTAACAGACTATATCCATCCTGTGCTTTAATATGAAAAATCAACTAAATTACATTATCACTGCAAAGGGCAAGATAGGAAAGTAGGTAAGAATAAAAGACAAATTAAAAAAAAAAAGAGACCTTCCTCAGTGTTGAAATAACTTCTGAATGTATATATAAGGCTATTTTCCAAAGAGTTTGAATTTCCTTAAAAAACAGAGAATGAATGCATATATTTCTTTACAGACACAGACTACTACATTACATGTGAATCAGGAATTCTAAATTCTATTTCTAGCTTTGAGACTGATAGTGCTATCATTATGTGTAAGGCATTACATTTTACTTTTAAGTCAATATCCCTACCCTTTCTTTTATACCCTATCAATAAAAACTAGCTATCACTGTGTTTCTGTTATGCATTTTTATATGGTGAGACTTTTTTTAAAAATCATAATCTTGAAGGTATGCACTATGTTATTATATGCTTTATCACGCTGTATTACAGGGCTTGAAAAATCCCAAGCACTGTGATGTAGCACTTGAGGGAAATCTTACCTGAAACTAGAGATGAGTAATTTTTTTCAATTGATATGCTTTTGTATTTTGTAATTACAATAACTTGAAAAGAGATTCAATGTGCCAGATGGTGCCACTCATCCAGGAAGCAACTGGATTCAAGTAAGGTATTCTAAGGATCAAATGCCAAATCACCAGAAGCATGGTGGAGAAAGTGGTAAGCATGAGGATGGAAAAGTGAGAGTCCATTACAAGGATAAGGAGAGGAAAGAGATGGAATATGGAAAGGAATCATTAGTTACTATCTTCATTTTCCTACATTTGCCCCAAAAAGTACCTTATCTAGAAACTGGTAGGATAGTCTTTGAATTTTCTTAGAGGATCCTTTAAAGATTCTTCTGTCAATATTCAGTAACCCTAATTTGAACCTCTACATGAGACTGGGAACCAATGCCTTGGGGTAGCATGTTTTCTTTTTTTTTTTCTTTTGTTTTTCTTTCCTTGAAAGCCAAAAAATTCCTTCTGCAAGTTTTGAAGTTAGTTCCTAGATTTCAAACAAATTTGTCAACCTATGGTATTTTACATTTAGCATATCACTACTGAAAATAGTCACTGATAATCTAATTCATCTATGTAAAACTTAACTATATTATGAAACAGCCCAGTTTTAATAGAAAAGTCTGCATTAACTTTGAAGTAGGCCACGGGCAAGCCTAGATCTGGCTAAATGGAATTCTTGATTTCAAAACTCTGGGTTAGATGCACAAGGCCCTGCAATCCCAGATTTGGTAACACCAATTTCACATGGTCAACACAATCTTTAACACTTTACAACTTAAAAAATTTTATCCTATTACTCTCCTTTCTTTTTCACTTATATGGAATTTAAAGCTACTCAAAACTCATTCAGGCCCTTTAAAGTAACTATCTTGTTTTAGACCAAACTTCTGCATAAAAGGTTGAATAAGAGAAAACAGAAAAAGGCAAAACGGGAAAGGAATCATAGTATAATGGAAAGAACTAAAATTAGTTAGAAGACCCATGTTTGAGTTTAAATGCTACCTTTTATAAGCTAGGTAATGACAACTAATTACATATAGCATGTTACAAACCTTTAAGCACTATGTAAATGTTAAACAATGTAAAACAGTGGACCTAATTGAACCTCAATTTCCTCATCTATAAAATGAATCCTTTTCATGATTAACATTCTATGATTTCTTTATTTTATGAAATATAAAACAACAATAATATATTGTTCACTGATCCTTTAGAGTTTGATGAAATGAGGCTTGCTACAATATAAAGAAAATAAAATATTTAAAAGCAGGGTATATATGTAGACATATATATGTATATATATATATACATGTATTTCTCAATGAAATGAAATGGCAATACTATATATGATAACAATAAATTTCTTTCGGGTATCATGTTTAAAAATCCAGTGGATTTTTTTTAACCATAGCAAACCACCTAGTCTTTCTCAAGGCAAAAAAATATATATATATATTTCTTCTAAATTTTTAGTACCAATTCTGCTTCATAGATCTTTCTGTTCAACAGAGTTCAAACACAGAAAATAGATAATGCAATATTTTTCAACAGAATTCTTCCTTACTTTTAAAAATAGGGAGTGGGGTGGGGTGGGGTGAGGTGGTGGGCAGGTAGTGGAAGGGAAATAAAGCACAGCTTCTGAAATTAGGCAATTGTTTCAAAGAATATAAAGAAATGACTCCTTGGTTATATAGCTAAATCTCATCACTGCTTTTCCACATAAAATTACTGCCAATCTCTACAAATATATTTTCATATTCTCCAACATCTGATACTTTCCTCAAAAATAGAGAATGAATGCACATATTCCTTGACAAACACAGACTACTACATTACGCGTGAATCAGGAATTCTGAATTCTACTTCTGGCTTTGAGACTGATAGTGCTGTCATTCTGTATAAGGCACCACGTGAGCAACAGTCATTCACTTGGAGTCTCAAGGGATATTACAAGAATTAAGAAACAAATGCTTACAATATGAAAATCTCAAATTGCTATCTTCTGAGGATAGCTACTCATCCAAAAATCAAAGCACTATGAAAATTAACTTTAGATGTAAGGTAGTGGTTTTCAAAGTTTAGTCTACAGACTATACAATTGGTCTGCTCCTGCTCTCAAGGGATATGGCATGGGGTTGGTCTCTTAAAGCATTAATATCTACAACAACAATCTTCAGAGCAGAAAATTTTTAAATAAGTAAAGATATCCATCAGTATATCTCATCAAAAAAAAATTATCACTCATTCCTTAAATTTTGTTGACTTTTTAAAAATTATAAGAAAATAGAGAGGAAGGATTTCTTGCCACACTGGAGTTATAAAGATAGAACCATTGTTATAAGTTACACAAATACTGCTACAATAAAATATTATAAACAAAAATCATAATTTAAATGAAATGAATGGCAAAGCAAAAGTATTTAAAATAATCAAACATCTGCGGTGTTTTATTCCTTCATTTACATTACTTTTCAAAACAGTATACTCCTCTCTAAAATTAAGCTTACCTAGAAGATGGCATCATGTTTGTAGTCCTGAAGTTTGTTGTAAACGGGTTAGTAGAATCATAATCAAAATAATCCTGGCGATTTTCAATAAATGCATTAGGTGATTTCAAGTCACAAGAACTGTCCAATCCCCCATTGCTAAGTTTGTCAGACCTCCTGCTATCTTTTTTCCCAGTCACTCTTTCAAAAAGACTAACTTTCTCCCTTTTCTCTCTTTTATTTTCTTTTTTGACTTCAACTGATTTTGAAAATAAATTCACGCCACTGTCCCATGACTCACTGCTTTCTTCAAATGGATTTTTCTTTCTTGGCAGTGTTGCAAATTTTTGGGGTAATGAAGCAGTCACATTTGTAAATGGGTCATTTTGTGTTCCAAAAGACGATTCACCTTCATCAACTATGCTGTCAGGTTGGTTGATTTTAGAAGTATCAGCACTTAATGTTCTTCTATGTGGAGATTTGAGACTTCCTGCAAACAATTTTGTAGTTAATACATAGCCAGTGAGACATTACATCATACTATTTGACACATTCAGTGTGCACACTGGTTCTGCTTTTAGAAGTTGAGCAATTAGTTATTTAAAGATATTAACCTTAAAAATAATCTTGTAAAATAATTCATCTTAAGAAGTCACTGTATAATGGCATAAAGGTTCTAAGTTAATGACAACTGCTACATTACTAGACACGTGCCTAGTAAGTTCCTCACTTCAGACAAAACATGATGTAAACAAACTACAGTGTCGATGTATCTTCTTGGCATGAGAAAACTGTAAAGTATTTCAAGGATGTGTGTGGGTTTTTAAAATCATTTACTATTAAACTTGTTTTTAATATGAAGGATTTATTTTCAAAGACATTTCTGACACCAGGAAGTGTGTATCCTGTAACACAATCTATACAGAATTAAATACTATAAAGTCTTCAATATAGGAAAAATAGCAATAAAAGAGAACTGGGCCATAAAAGGTGGTTTTAAAACCAAAGAATTCATGCTGAAAATTTGCTATAAACAGATATGAATTTACATTACCTACTAACAATAAAAGGATTAAGAAGAGCTCAACTTAAAAAACTCTAAAAAAAGAAAACAAAGCATTTTTTAACTTAAAAATTATATGTAAGAAAATCAAAGGTTAGTTGAAACTTCCACCAAAATACCTAGTAAAACATTTCACTTACCACTTTCCTCAACAGATTCAAAAGACTCTAACTGGCGCCTGAAAAGATGTGTATGACCAATAGTGCTAGTCTTCAATTTCTCTGAAGAAACATGTGATGCCGTTAAATCAGACATTGAATGAGCTGAAGAGAGTCGCTGAGGTCCCAAAAGAAAAGGCTTTTTTGGTTTGGATTTCATCTGTATTTCACTACTTGAAAGTTCAATGTTAGCATCAGGTATATGAGTACTTGGAATGATCGCTGAAGATGTATCAGAAAAAGTCCCATCATTCTTTCTACCTTTCATTTTATCTTTTAGTTTTGCAAAAGGAGATCTTGTTTTGTCCTTCATTGACAGATCAAACATACTGGCTGTCATATTGTTCCTCATAAACTGAATGTTGACCTTTATTTCTCCTCTGTCTTTGGCTCTTTTCCCTTGCTTGGATTCTAACCTAAACCACCTTAAAAAGAAGGAAAAAAATGGGCTGTATCAGGCATTTATTTGAGCTATGTTATTTCCTATTTTTTTGTTAAATTTATTATTTGCACAGTAACACAGAATACTCAAAAAACATTTTCATCAATCATACAAGGTATCTTGGAACCCCAAGACTTAAAGTTATAAAGTGCTTCAAAACTACAAAACATCCTTACAAAGACTGTATATTGTAAATTTCCTTTAAATACACAGAACTTTTTGTAGTACCCATCCCCTACCCTGCCCCAACTCAAACATAGGTAGCCATATGTCTACAAGTATCTTCTCCTGATATTTTAAAGTGTAGTACCTTTCCTTAATTTCTAAAGTTAAAAAATTAGGGGAATATAGCAACTCTTTCCAAAACAAATGTATGCATCAAACCAATCTATATGAAAACATTTCACATAAGGAGAATAACATAAAAGGATTTAAAAATTATAGATAAAACACATAGTAAGGTATATTTTCTTTTTATTAGATAGCAACTCCAAAATTTTACATATATAAACAGCTGTTTTCATGTTTAAACACGAAATAATATTTATCAAATTTAGCTATACTGTACATTTCTAGCTTTATCCATTTTCATTGAGGTTATACAACCACTTTTGTGCTATGACATGAAGCTAGTTGAATAGGCCTGAAAACAGAAGTGTCAGTATACCTTTTTAAGTGACCTTTTCTTTTATGATTTTAAAACCACTCACCTTTAAAATTCTTATCAGTAATAGCTAACATGTTTCCATGTGTGATAAGTGCTGCTAATGGCCTAAGTAAATTTTCTTGACATTGAAAAATACTGAAGGAGAGAATCTGAAAATACTCACCAATAAAAATTCTTTTTGAGTTAGGCAATTTACAATGACAAATAATGATCAAGTTCTCTGAAAAATGAGCCTCCCAAAGTCCTTCAGCGCTAAAAATACTACTTGGGTACAACATGTACATTTAACTTACCCAAATGAGGAATAATTTAGCAACTCTGGAGACCACTTGAGGACATAATGCAATTTTCTCATGCTACATTTTACATTAGATTAATAAATAAAAACTCAAAAAAAAGCACAAGCTTTCTCCTTGGTCCCCTCCTCTCTCTTCATACTCTGTGTGATCTCATCAATTCCCATGGCTTCAATGATCACCTCTATACAGATGATGCCCAAATCTACATGAGAGGGAACCAGAGATAAAGATATTGACTTGGAATCAGGAAGACGTGAAGTTCAAATCTGGCCTCAGACTGTGTGACCTTGAGCAAGTCACTTACCTTCTCTACCTCAGCTTCCTCAGGAGGAAAAAGCAGATAATAATAGCACCTATCTTACAAGGTTGTAAACTTGACAGATGTGTTAAGTACTTTTAAACTTTAAAAATGTTAGCTATTGTTATTATTATTATTTGGAGCTACAATCTCACATTACCACCTACCCACATTACCAACTACTGGATGAGCATCTTCATCTGGATGTCACAAAAGTGATTCAAATCAACATGTCCAAAACGCTTTTTTAAATCTTTCTCTCCTTAACCCATCTCTTCATCTAACTTCCCTATTTCTGGTGGAGGATCACCATCACACAATTTACCCAGGATTGCCTTCTTGGAGCCAATTCTAATTCATCTCACTCCCCCTCATCTCCTACCCAAAGTCAATCAGGTGGGAAATCTTGTTAACTATACCTCCACATCTCATTTTCACTTCTTTTCACTCACAAAGCCATTAGCCTCATTCTCTCTTATCACTGTTCAATAGGAGACTATTGCAGTCTCCTAATTGGTCACTCTGCTTTCTATATCTTCATTATTTAATCCATCCTCTACACAGCTGCCATATTGAAATTCTTAAAGCATAGATCTGACTATGTAACTCATCTGCTCACAGAGTTTCAGTGACCCCCTACTACCTCTTGGATCAAATACAAACTTCTTTGTGGCCACTCAAAAGCCTTAACAATCTAACTCCAACCTCTATGTCTAAATATATTTCATGCTTATCCCACTCACTCTGTTCCAACTGAATGTGTACAAGACAGTCGATTTGTCACATCCATGCCCCTGTACAAGCTGATTGATCTCCATACCTGGAATGTTCTCCCTCCTATGTGTGTGGAATCCCAACTTCCCTTCAAGTTTCAGTTCAGGTGTCATCTCCCATATGAAGTCTTTCTTGAATACCCTCAAATTGTTAAGCCCCTCCCCCCAACTTTATATTATCTCTCTAATGTTTATTATTATAAATTGTATTTTATTGTGTTATATATTGTATATTACATATATATATATACTGTATATAATCTATTATTTGTTGTTTTTTCCCCCAATCCCCTCCACCCCCACCCCCACCCCCAGTAAAAGAGGTATTGTAATCTCTGTAATGGTAGGGCCTATTTGAGGGGCAAGGAAGCATCCTCAATGCCTAAAACAATACTTTATACACAACAGCAGCTTAATGTTTGCTGAATTGAGTTTTTATAAAATATGCAAACTGAGCAAAATGCTGAGAAACCTGGTTACTAATAAGCTGTGATAAGATTACTGAAGAAGAAATGCTTAAATGCCTCCTGCTGGCATTCATGTGATTCACACAATAGTATACTAAAGTAGAAATACTAAAAACTAAGTTAAAATAGAGCCAAGTTTTGTATTTTCAGACATTTCATTCCAACATACTACACTTTTAAATGGAGTATGCAACGCATAGTTTACTTGTTTCATTTATAGCATTTTTAACCATGAAAAATACTGCAATCTTCAGAATATCACAAGGAGTTCTTACAAGAGCAAACAGCTATAACACACTGCAAAAGAGCATATACACTGGCACAAGGTAAAGGCTTAATAAATGCCTGTTAACTATGTTTAAATAACTTCTCTGAAAGTATGGATATTGTACTTCATTATCAACTAACACAAAAAGTCTTTTATTAAGTCAAGTCCACAGATCAACGGGCATTTATTAAGCACCTACCATGAGCCAGGCTCTCTGGCACTTAGGATACAAGAAAGGCAAGAGATATCCCTTCTCTCAAGGAACTCTCTAATGGAGGAGACAATACAAAAACAAAATACATGCAAACAAGACATATACATGATAAATTGGAGATGATCAATAAAGGGAAGGCATTAGCATGAAGGAGAATCCAGATAGGCTTCCTGGAGAAAGTGGTATCTTAATTGGAACTTGAAGGAAGCTAGGAATGCCAAAAGTAAAAATGAGGAGACAGAGAATTCCAGGCACAAGGGATAGCCAGTGAAAATGCTGAGAGTCAGGGAATGGAGTGCTTTGTATGAGGAGGCCCATGTCACTTGATCAAAGGATACATAGAGATGAGTTAGGTATAAGAAGACCAGAAAGTCAATCCTAAAAAGCTTTTTAGTTAAAATAGAATTAAATGACTAAATTTTACATAGGTCACATTCAGACTATGCCAGACACAAACATACTTGTGGTATTATGTATCAGGTAAACAAATTCTGTCTACTAGATAAGACAACAGAGTATGTCCTTAAAATGTAAAGCAGCCACATTTGAACAAAGTACCTAAAATAGTAGTAGTCTAGAGTTAGATATTTAAATAGCACAGGGGCATGCAAGGTGTGATGTTCTGATGAATTTAAGTAATGACACTTAAAATCTCTGAAGACACATATCTACTTTTAGATTTTCTAACTGAAAGGGGATATATAAAAGCTTTGTTACTAGGATGTCCTTTGTTGATCTATGTAGACTATCTCTATTCTAGGAAATTCAAAACATAACATATCTTAGTGTATAAGATTACTGATGGAGAACTGGTATTACAATAATTCTGCAGGTGTCCATACATGACTCATTTATTCCAACAAATAAAGCCCAGAAGGCCAAAGTGTATATAAAGCTATAACATATGGTTGTCCCAAGACCCTAGAATATGCTAGACCAAACACAATCTTCATCATACCAGTGATGAGAATTTACCAGTTCTTCCTCAGAGTGGGGTGCAAGCACTAGAATGTTAAATCGTTAATTTTAAAATATATCTTTTTTAAACATAACCAATCTGAAAGGATCTATATACAAGATCATTCTCCTCAGCTTCTCTATTTTTCCTCCTTCCTTTCAGCTGACTCAACTAAGTAGATTTTATGTAGATATAGAACTATATGTGAAATAAAATTGCACATAATAAGTAACGATGATTCAAGATGCTATAAAATGAATGAGGCATAAATTATTTTGAAATAAAAATTATAGTCCATTGAAGTAATCACATTATCCTACTTTCAATGATTATATATAAGCTAAGCAAGATTAACTCATTTATTGATCTTGACTTTAAAAATAGTCAATATGCTCTACTAGTCTTTTTCTTCTTAGGAAATAACTTGTTTGCAGGATTGGGATCTCTCTAATGTGTCTACAAAAACACGTACAACTATAGTTAGTTGTTTAGGACACCAGGCCCAAAGTCATGACTGCTCAAGCCATTTAGTTTTGCAGGGCTAATCCTACTTAACAAATGTCTGTCAGAAAGGAGACCAAGTGAGAAAATGTCAATGGATGAGTGAAAATTCATCCACACTAGATGACAGCTAACATATATACTCTTCAAAGTGCTTTATGTATATCACCTCATAGCACATGATCTAAAAATGAGTAGAATCATCTTCATATGTATTAAGACAGAAAAATATACAAAAATCAACCACTGAGAGAACTGATCACTACTCTAATACTCTAAACAGAATCATAGAATTTATGCACAAAAAAACCCTTAAATCTGACAAGGACATAATGACAATTTATAAAATGTATGCATAACAAGTAATTTTACTTAATACTGATAACTGATATGCATTTGCTTTAACATGGTAGTCTTATACCTTGAAGTGACTGTTTCCTCTTCCAAAGTAGCAAAGCACTTTGTAACTGTTAACAGTGATAATGATAGCTGACATTTATACAACACTTCAGGATTTATAAAGCCCTTTATATACATTATCTTTTTTGATCCTCACAACAACCTAATGAGTTAGGTTGTGAAAACATTATTATCCACAGAAAAGGAAACTGAGGTTGAAGAAGATAAAATTAATGGCCTACAGTCACACGGGCACTAAGTGGCTGAGCCAAGATTCAAATTTAGGTCTTACATTCTAAGTCTGGAACTCCTTTGACAATACACTGACTCTTAACTAAGTTATTTTTGTACATATCTCTTTATTAGACAACAAGCTCTATGATGGCAATGACTTCAACTTTGTATTATTCTCTCCAAATCCTAGCAAAAAGACTTGCTGAGCACATGTGAAATAAACGTTAAAGCTGGATTTTACTAGCTCAGTTCCCACATTTTACTAAATGGGAAATTAAGGCCCAACAAGGTAAAGTAACAAATAAAACCTAAGAAGGAAAAAAAGGAGTCAGTGAATTTGAATTCCCTTTGAACATTCAAAAGAACTTTTTTATGATAAATAATACAGTTATCAATTAGTTAAGTCACATTTATTGCAGGATATATATTTATATTTTGGGACAGACACTGGTTTAATTATCAGGATGCAGAGGTCAAAGATATCATTTTTGTTTCCAGAATTAATCAAGTTATAAAACACCTCCAAAGCAGGAATATTCTTTGTGTAGAATATCCTTCTGGCAGTCTAGTAAAGCCAGTGGACCCCTCCTCACAATAGTGTTTTAAATACATAAAATTATAACAGACATCAGTTAATAGTAAAATAGTAATCAGAAAAAGTATTTAAATTAAGTTCACAGACCCTAAGTTAGGATTCTCTGCTCTAAAGCTTCTGGCAAGTTTTGTTGGGAAGCACAAATAGGTACTTGACATAAACTAGATTACAGCTGAGGTGGGCACATACAGTATAGCAATTACAGAAGTCCCTCACCAGACCAATGGTGTATCCACAAGCTAAAACATAAAACTTCATAATAAAAATGTAAGTATAAGAAGTAATTTCAGTTGCTTTGATGTTGTTTTTATACTGCAATAACATGGAAGTCTTAATAAGCCTTCAAGAGCCATTCTAGAGATATCATTTGTTTTCCCAGACTTCCTGAAGATAAAATGAAGACACAGCATTTGAGGCTTAGTGGATTAATGCTGATTTTTTTCTTCATCTCTTGAGTCCTGGATTTAAACTCAATATGGCCTCAGTTCAATTTTTAGCGGGCACCAGTCCATGTTAGAAAAATCACCACACATGTGGGAACTATTCCCAAACAATTGGTGCTATTTGGTCAGAAGTGGGAAAAAGATTGGCATTAAGGTTCCTACAGGCCACAATGCAGGTGCACTGGCAGGGCTGCACAGAGAAGTTTTAAAAAGCTCATGCCTCCATCATACCAACTCTAGGGATTCCAACTACTATTATTTTCATGAGCATTAAACACACAATGTATTGCTGTAAAAAAAAGCAATAGATATTACATAACAGCATGCACAATTTTATTATTCTGCTATATTAAACATGGTTTTATTTTCTCAAGTCTCATGCCAGCACCAAGCCAGCCAGCCATTAAAAGTTGAAGACACAGAAGTATTCTCCAGGCCCTTGCTTAAATTATTCAGGTTCAGCCATTTTCCCTTCTTCTGTTTTAAGGGGAAGAAAGTGATGAATGGGGGGTCAGTGAAAAACAGAAGTTTACAGAATCCCATTCTTTATCTATCATAGTGCAATTTGGAATAAGTCAACCTGTAAATATTTCTCTTTAGTTCAGTATTAAAGGGGAAAAAAAGCGTCACCCTGTAGTTTTTATGGGAATTCTAAATCAGCTGGTAGCCTTCATCACTCATATTGATTTTCTAAAAAACACTTGGGAATTGCTGACAAGGTTCAGTATTGTGCAGAATATTAAATATCTTTTTTGTAATACACCAGCGACTCAAGTCTGTCTTTTGCAAGGCCATATGTACAGCTGCACTGGAAAGAGGAAGCTATTAAATATATTAAAAAAACTAGAAATATTACCAATAAAGACACTTCATCAAACAACCTGGTCCCCATTCATCCCCACACAAAGCAAAAAATGTTTAAGGATACAGAACTAAGAAAATCATTTTGGATACAATAACATTATAAGCCTAGTAATACTTTAAAGTAACAATTTTATTTCAAACAATACTAAACAATTTCATTTAATAGTCAACATACATATGCAAACTTTTTGCATGTAGAAACTAGACTGTCAATTGCCACTTTTTTGAATAAATGATACCATGTTAAGAAAAGATCCTGAATCAAGGAAAATTGGAGGTTATTTCAAACTAAGAATTTTTAAGTTTGCAGTTGGGTCAATTTATATTTGGAAAATGTACTCTTAATAGAAAGTCATTAACATATGAACTATTAAATATTTGAAAATACAATATAAAATATGAAAATGAATGCAGTATAAAATTCAGTCATGACACTTTTAGAAGTATGTTCAAAACATTATAAAGAGTCACTAAAGCATCATCTGACATGTATAAAATAAAGCAATTTTAACATACACACAAATGTGATTTTATAAAAACAACTTAACTCCAACAATATGAAAAAAGCTCAATGGATAATAGCCTTTTAAAAAGGAAATGCAAAATGCATTTCATTATGCTACTAAGAGCACAGACACAATCAGCTTTAGCTTTTTACCTTTCCCCTCTTTTCTTTAGGACATTTTCACTTTAATTATTTTAAAATATTTAATATCACTTTTCATCTTACATTCTTGGCATTTCTTATCACTAACATAAACCTTAGGTCAGGTCTTAGAATGTAAGTATTTTCTAGAAGTTTTGAGGTAAAATATACTTCAGCCTATACATTTATAGTCAAAGTATGTGAAATTATGTCATTAGGTAAATTCACCCTAGTCAAATGATTTTTAAAGAGGAAATTTGATTGTGGTTATGAGTGAATTACTCACTCTCAAAACATTCTTCCAAGTCTATAGACCTGTAATTCAACCTGTACTTCTTTCCTGAATATAACAAACTGACTATTTTCTCACACTTATACTTAGGTTAAAAGTTTAATTAGGAAGCAAGTGCCTACTTCTGGAAGTACTCCGTTTCATTTTAATATTTTATGTTGAGGTTTTGACTTATCTTCTTATTGTTTATGTTAAAAATAGGTCTCATAACTAAATATCCATATTAAGAAGGCCCTGTTTCCAATGAAGATGTTATTAAGCTGCCTCTTCACAAGAACTGAATCAGTACTTCTAATCTTGAAGCACTTAGTACAGTCCAAGTACATTAACTTTGTGGAAGTAATTTTGAAAATGGTGCCATGGATATGATGAAAATATAAAAGAAAAGTTATTAAAATAGTCAAGGTCAGAAATGAGACATGTTTGTAACTTGGAAATTCTAGACTTCCAAATGCCTTAGAACATACAAAGAGAGGGAGCAACAGTTGATAGAGAAATAATGAAGATCTGTTCTGTATGTAATCCCAAAAAGGAATAAGTAGTGCTAAGCTTTCGAAATTTAACTTTAATATTAAATCACTGCACTTATGTGCTTGATATATTTTTCCAGAAGCTACTAAGCTCTGTAACTACTTCATTTCTTTAACTAATTTTCAAAATTATAATTATATACTAACCTAGTTTTAAAAGGTTAAAAGTGACTGCTTCTTACAAATAATCTTAATCATACCCCAAAAAACTTCATTTATTTAAAGTCATTACCAAAAAATACTAAGACTTGTAATTCCTAAGCAGATGCTTATTTTAAACCATTTAAAATGGTTAAAATGGAACATGTGCAATTCCATTTTTAAAGGTTTCTTCCCCCGTGGGTTATTTTTTTACTTTTGATCCATGTGAAAGGGGTGATTAAAAGTTGTCACACTTCATCCAGAAACCTATGCCTCTCAAACAGAAAGTGCTTCATTTACAAAATGATAAATATCTTAAACACTGCAAAATCAAGAAAATAAATTGCATGACTTACTCTGTTTTCTTTCTCTGTTTGTCCTCAAAGATGTCATTGAGATTGATTGCCACCTGCCCCAAAAATTTATCCAGACCCACCAAAGACCTGTGCATGACTACCAGGAAAAGTATGTATTTCTCTGGATTCCCCTGCATTAGCAATCCAGGGAGCTCAAAAGAAGCCTCTTCTTTCCAGACTGGATCAAGGGTTTTCTCTGCTACAGAGGTGGAGTATTTTTCCTTGCCCAGTTGGATGATAGTGTATGTATCATTGGTGCCACTTTTGCCTTTTGGCTTCAGATCTTTGGCTTGAAGCACGGTGACCTGCACGTGAGTTGGAAACCACTTCTGGGCTTGCTCGGATAACATCATTTTGCCTTTTTTGGGGGGGGGGTCCCCAATACGACAGAGGGAGACACAAACAGTAGTAAAAAATAAAAATAAATGAAAATTCCCCAAGCCTAAGTCTTTAATAATAGCATGATAAGGGCACTTCACAGAGACAGAAGCTCTCACAAGGCGCTCAAAGTTGCCCAATTTCTGTTTGCTTCCTGTCCAAAAAAATACAAGCCAGCCTGCCTGCCTCGTGGTGCGGCGAAGCAGCTGCCCCCGGAAAGCCCCGGCCTGCCGCCGCCTCTGGGGCCGGGCCGGCGGCTGGCATTCCCGGGCCGGGCCGGGGTCCGCTGCTCCCTCCCCGGCTCCTCCCCGCTACGGGAACGGTTAGTTACGAGCTGGGGGGGGTGGGGGGCTAGTCAACGCTCCCTCCCGGCCCTGCCCCGGGGGCAGGTGAGGCCTGCCCGGGTCACCTGGCGCCCGGTGGGGCGGGGCGCGGCGCGGTCTGGGGGGGGGTTCTCCTCGACCTGCCGCGGGGCTCCCGGGGCTCGGTCTCTCTCCTCGGGCCGAGGCCGCCCCCTCCCAGCTGGAGCCCGCCCGGGGCCTCCGCCGCTCGCACCTGCTCGGGCCCCCGCCCCCGCCTCCGCCTCACTCCCAGCTCTCCCTCAGGTCGGCCCGGCCCCGCCCCGCGCCCCCTGCCCCCGGCTAATACGAACCCCCGGCGGCCCGCGCTCGGACGGCTACCTCTCCCTCTCCCTGCCTCTCTCTCCACCTCCCTCCTCCTGCCCTCCTTCTGCCCTCCTCTCGCCTGCTCCTCCTCTCCTCTCCTCTCCTCTCCTCTCCTCTTCTCTCAGAAGCAGGGGCTGCCGAGCCGCGGCTCTCGCTTCCCGGTCACCTAAGGGACTGGGCCGGTACAGGCGCCGTCAGGGCGTGAGGACAGGCCGGGGCTTAGGGTCTTTTTAGGGCCCAGCGGCGCCCTTGGGCAGGCAGGCGGCCGGCGGCTGGGGCGGCACTTCCGGTCTGGGCATCTCCATGTTGAAACGTGACGGGAGGGGCGGGCGCGGCGACGGGGAGGTCAGGGGTCAAACGCTCCCCTGGTTGCCATGGTATCCGTAGGCCGTCCGGGCCCGAGGCGTGACTTTGAGGTGGTGAAGATGGAAGAAGAAAGCAGCATCCCTTTTGGGGTCATAGAATGAAAGGGACCTAAAAGATTATCTGGCCTGAAGCCTTTATGGTATAGATGGGGAAACTGAGGCCGCCCCGAGACCCAAAGTTGGCAATGCCAGGGGGCAACCTCTGACTCCATCCGCAGCCTTTGAGCTCCAGAGCCCGCCCTTCATTGATACGGAATAGGAAACTGAGGTCTGAAGATACCTTGACCAAAGGCACACAGCTAATTGTGGTGGAACCAGGACTAGAGTCAAGTCAACAAGCATTTATTAAACACCTACTACATGCCAGATGCTTTATTAAGCACTGAAGATATCTCAAAGGCGAAAAAAAAAAAAAAACCAGCCTCCACTCTCAAAGAATTCAAAGACTAATAGGGGAAACAACATGCAAACAACACTGTACTGTCCCAGGCAGCCGTTAATGCTTTCTGACCACCATACCAACAGCTTATACCCATTTTCCCCACACCAACCCCAACCAATGCATGCTACCACCCCACATCTTTTTTTTTCACTAGGTTGGCTACAAGGAAAGACTCCCTCAATTTTGGAGGCTCAGAGAAGAGCAAAAAGATTAGGTGATTCAACTCAGAAAACATTAGTGTGATACTTGGTAGAATGCATTATGGGATACAAAGACAAAAATAATTTTTTGAAAATGTCCCTTCCTCCAAGAAACTTACATTCTACTTGCAGGAAACCGCATGGGCCCAAGTAAGTACAAATATGTAAGAAGTGAATTCAAAGATTTCCAAACCTACCAAATCAGACAAACTGTTATTTCAGAGATACTCAGTCCATTTCCCCTACTCCCAGGAAAACAAAATGTGCGTTCTAACAACAAACATTTGTGATCACTAAGTTGGCAGAAGCGTTGGTGATAGACTTGAAGCTCGAATAATTCTGGTCGCCATACCTACTTGAAGTTAATAGTCTAACATTGGCCTTATCAGGATTTTGCTCCTACCCTTCCTGTATAATCTTAATTGGATTTAATAGAATCAAAAGACCTAGATTCAAATCCTAATTGTGTTTATTAACCTCTGATTGTGACTTTGAGAAATCACTTCATCTCTGTGGAGCTCATCTTCCACATCAGTAAGGGAAAGGTGTGACCAGGTACCATCTAAATCTTACGTACTAAATTATTCTCTAGTGATATGTTTTGAAGTTGGGCATTTTAGAGGTAGACAAGTAAGATAAGACCTTGCCTGGGCTATCTTTTGTATACGTGAGTGGCTGCCTGCTTTTCTTTTGTTTAGGGTTAGGTCTCAGTGTGATGGAGTCTGTGCTGCTGTGGGTTTGGAAGTAGCTTGACCTAGCAGAAATAGTAGAGGTCAGCAGACTTGTATTCTAGTCCTAGCCTCCTCATTGACTCACCTGGTGACTACATGTAAATCTATTATCCTTTAAAATAGTATACACACACACACACACACACACACACACACACACACACACACACACACACACACACAAAGACAGTCAAGCATTTATTGAACAGTTGCTAAGAGCTCCAAATAGATATTAAGTGACCATCACTACCCTCAAGGAGCTTACATTCTAATGGGGGAAAGGTGACAAAGTTACCTAGGGTTAGGAGTGTTGGGGGGCCTGGTAGTGAAAGTCCTCAGTACAGCTAAATTGGCTTCATCTTCCCAACTAGACTAAAAACTCCATAATTACAAGATGTGTGTCATATATCCTTGTGTCTCTCGGAGCATCTAGCATAGGGCTTGCTTTGGATGTCATATGCATTCAATAAGTATTTGTGAAATTTATGATTCCCTTAGCTAACTCACACTTTGAAAACTTCATAGCTTAAGGTTTTATTCCAATATTCAGGCATTATTCAAAGGCTCTCCATCTGAGAACTTTTTTAAGTCCTCAGATAAAATAATTTTAAATGACCCTTCCCTTTCCTCCCTTTTCAGTAGCACTGTGTTCACAGGCCCCTACTGTAGAACTGAATTGAACTGTAAGAAACAAAGGGAAGTTAGGGTCACGTTAATTACATGAAATGTTTTATGTTTGTAAGTATGTGAAGCATATTTAGTGGAAAATACTTGAAGAGAAAAAAAATTATCCCTTTTATCATCATGGAAAAGAAGAGATGCTGTACTTACTTTGAGGAATAGCACAACAGAGATAAAAGACTATACCAGGGACCTTGCCCATATCATCCAGTCTTTCAGGGCTGTTTAGAGTTGAAGAACTTTGAGAACAGATTTCCCTTGAAGGTGAAGGGAATTTCTACTATTTCTTTAGCACCCCTTACACACAGTACTCTTCGTGGTACTCAACATGTAGTGGGAACTATGTCTCATTAAAGGTCTTATTAAAGTGTAGAATTCAAATCAGTTTGATGAGGCTATCGAACACCAGAGACAACATAATCCTAGACTGAAAGATAACTCAGAACAAAAGAACTGCATTTTAAGTCATCCCAAAGGTTTTACCTTAATGAATTAAAACAAGAGGGAGAATATAATACATTCAAGTAAGAGAGCATGATGGTGTTGTTGTTTCAAAGATGGAACTTTGGGGTTGTACATGGAAAGTCAAATCAATATAAAGATCAATAATTTGAATTATAAGCATAAATCTGTTATCTGAGTCCTAGAGTGGGCAATTGTCAGCTATAAAGAAGTTGATTCCTAGAAATTTTTTAAAAGACTTGTGCAATGGTAGAATTTGTTTGAAAAAAAAAAACAGTTTGATAACTAAAATCTGAAAACATCTTGTGACGTTTTATTTTAATGAAAATTGCATATGCATAAATTGCATTCATAAACAGTTATCCTTCAGGTGACTGTGATAAAGAACAATTAGTTATAATATCGAATGTGTTTCTGAAACACAAATCGCTAGATAAGCTTTGTAAAATGATTATAAAGCTGTTTACAAATATCACTTCACCCATTTTTAAAATAATGTATAGTCACATCTAGGGTCTAAGTTAGAAGCTGTTAAATAGTCCACAGCAATGTAATAACATACTCTTAACACAATTCTATGCTAACTAAAAAGGCAAGAGAGCAGCCCTTTGAGTGACTTTCTGAGCACTTTTCCTAAATCACCTAAATTTCCTTTCAGGCTTCCCAAGGTGTGAGGGATTGTCTGATGTTGGCTACGTGCCACATGGGGGTTGTGGCAAGATGGGGCAGGGACAAGATATTAGGAAGTAACCGGAGCTCACGCTCCCGAGGCAGGGGGCTGTGCCATGTGGGAGTGGGACAGCAGAAAACGAGCTCCCTTTGTCTAGTCCTCTCCCTAGGTGCAGCGCTAACCCCAGACGTCTCTGTCCGGTATCTGGGCCTAGCTTCCTTTGTCACGTCCTCTCCCTTGGTGCAGTGCTAACCCCAGACATCCCCTTCCAGTATCTGATCCTACAATCAATCACTAGTAGGCAGGCTGAGGCGGAGGGGCTAGGAAAGATATAAGGGGCAGTAGGGATTGGAGCTCTCTCTCTTTCTCCTGCTCTTGCTTTCCTGCTTAGCCTTGCTGTGATGGCCTCTGAATAAAGTTCGAGTGCTTGCACCTCCCGATCGGCTCATCTCTATGTTTATCCGGGTGGGCTCCAAAGACTGGTAAGTATGACCCTGGCAGCCTGCTCCTGTTAGAAGGAGAGTGCACAGTGCAACCGGCACACCAAGGATTGACTAAAAGTAAAGCTACTTAGGGAGCAGCTAGGTGGTGCAGTGGATAGAGCACCAGCCCTGAAGTCAGAAAGACCTGAGTTCAAATCCGACCTCAGACCAATTGCTTGACACTTATAGCCGTGTGACCCTGGGCAAGTCACTTAACCCCAATTGCCAAAAAAAATAAATAAAAGCTACTTGAAATCTTTATTTTGGCAAATTCAGACCTTAACTATAGACCTTGCAGGCTAATCAACAGCATCTGTTAAACATCTACTGTATCATGAAATGTGCTAAATGCTAAGCAAGATAAACAAAACTAAGATGTGGTCCTTGGTCTCAAGGAACTTACACTCCAATAAAGTTAATTAGACACATATACAGACAAGTATGTTACAATTAACTACAAAAGAAGAATACAAAGTACTAGAAAAGTTGTTATTCATCCTTCATTCTGGAAGAGAACCAGTGA